AGTGGAGTCAAATTCAATAGAACAATTATTATCACGGGTGAATTGTCTAACGGAGATGAGGTTATGGATTATGTGTGGGGAAACAAGGATGTTTTGTAAGTTAAGGGGAGGGGATGTGGGAAATTTTTAATTACCGGTTGCCGTAGTACGGACTTTAGAACCATTACCTACAGTGATATATGATGATAAATTTAAAGAATGATTACGAACATGAGAAAGGGTACCTGGGTCCGAGGCGATATGGTGGGTGGCACCGGTGTCCATGTACCAATTTGGATCGTGGAGGGTGAGGGTGTCAAAATGGTGGGCTAAGGGCGGTGGGTGTGAGGTGGTTGGCACCAGCTGGGTAAGTGGTAGAGGAGGGGGTAGATGGCGGGTTAGGCGGGGCTGTCGGGTAGGGACTGGGGTAGGGGGTGTTTTGGCCGTGTGGTGTACTGGCGTATGGGTAGGGGGTGGAGAAATAGGCTTGGGGGTAGGGGTTGTGTGGGTGAATCCTTATCATACTGCTCTTCGTATCCGGGAGCTAGTTGTGAACATTTGAGTCCAGTAATCAAGGAAAATTCCATTAGAGAGTATCTAATGGGAACTCCATTTACTACAAACCACATTTCAGAACCTTTTGCTCCTTCCACATTAGCCTCCCTAACCATCAACTGCCATAACATGGCTGGAGGGGGAACAAGTTGGACATCAAGGAATGCACCAAAAGGAGAATCTCTCCTAAACACTTCTAGGATTTCCATATGATCGCACAACTTTTCTTTCATCATTTTTTGGAAGTCTTGCAGTGAAGGCTTCACATTCAGCTTCATATGTGGAAAGTCCTTTGAATTTACCTTCGTCTTTATCACCGGAACCTATATAACGGCATATAATGTCAACAAATTTCATATGGAAGGATATGCAATTAGTGCAACCAGAAGGTCGACACTTATTTTAGTCGATCAATGAAGTCGATCAGACTAAAAACTCATAAACCATTGTCCATTGGTTATTTGGAGAGAGAATAATTCATTTAAAATGAAGTTTCTGACCTTGAATGTTCCTTGTGTGGGCTTTGGGCTACCGCTGTGCTCTTTCATCCTCTCTTCCGCATGATACTCATCGTTTCCATTTTTGGAGGAAGACACAGAAGCATTCTTCGTCCTCATTGTAGAAATTTAAGGTTTTCCGAGACCAGTGACTTTAGATGGGTAGGGTTTCGATCAAGTTTTGAAGGTGTCGAAGAGGGGGGATAGAGCACACACAGATCGAAAACTCAATGGTCGCACGATGAAGGAAGATGTTTATAGAGGGTTTTTGTATAGTCTCTTCCGACGTCGTTTCGCCCATTCTCGGATTTTTTATTTAAATTTAAAGTTGAAACGCCGTTTACGCTTCGTTAAATGGAATAACTTTTCATTTTCTAAGAAGCGCGTCGGTCATACACGCCTGGACATTTCCGTCAATTCACCTTTACAGAGTAGTCCACTAAATACGAAACATTTACAGGGCATTTTGATAAAAACCTAGAGCGAACACACGGCTCACCTTTTTTCTACGTTCTTTTTGCAATTTGGCCAATTTCTCCGTCTCGTTTAATCTCCCTTTTTTGAAAGAAAGTTATAGTTTAAGATAATTACTATGTGTAACAAAATGATTGAGAAGTGTAATAGACATTTAGACAAGAACTTCACTCCATCCCAATAAATGTTTTATAATTTGATTTTTATTATTATTTTTAAGGACTTAAGAGATTGGGATTATATATGTTGAAAATTAAAAGTGTTTTTTTTGAGACATCTAAAAATAATAAAAGTTAATCATTTTTATTCCCTACTTTTTAAGTATATTTCCCGTGTTTCATTTTTAATCAAAGCATTAAATTCATCACACATAGCATTGTACCAATTATGGTTCTTAAGAGCACTACGGTAAGTGGGTGGGAGAGGGGAAATTTGGGCCATGGAGTTGAGATTGAAGTGTTTGGGTTTGGATATGCCGACCTTGGAACGGGTTACCATGGGGTGGGTAGTGGGCGGATTGGGCTGCGGCAGGGGGGGT